CTGTTGAAGACCTGGCCAAGAACTTAGATCATGGAGATCAAATGGATATGATCATTCTGGATTTCAGTAAAGCCTTTGACAAAGTTCCCCATCAACGCCTCATCAGCAAATTGCAGTTTTATGGCATTCAGGGAAGCACCCTTACTTGGATTAAATCTTGGCTCACTAGTAGATCTCAAAGTGTCATAATTGATGGCGTGAGTTCAAAATCTGTTGATGTGACTTCAGGGGTACCTCAAGGCACGGTACTTGGTCCATTAATGTTTTTATTATTCATTAACGATATGCAAAATGGGCTAGGATGTACACTAAGATTGTTTGCTGATGATGCTTTATTGTATCATAAAATCACTCATCATGATGACACCTTGGCTTTACAGCGAGACCTAGACAAGCTAGGCCAATGGGCTAATAGGTGGCAGATGCTGTTCAATCCTTCTAAATGCTACAAAATGTCTGTTTTCCGTAGTAGATCCCCGGTTGTTAAAGGCTACACTCTTTACAACCAAACCCTGGTATCTGTTCGACAACATCATTATTTAGGTGTTTTGCTGTCTAGTGATCTGCGGTGGAACACTCATGTGGACAAGATTGCTAAAAAGGGGAACTCTTCACTTGCGTTTGTGAAAAGGAACTTGTATGCCTGCTCTGAAGAAACTAAACGTGCAGCTTATGTATCACTTGTCAGGCCACATTTAGAGTATGCGTCTGCAGTATGGGATCCTTATAGACAGAATCAAGTGGAGAAACTAGAAGCTATCCAAAGTCGCGCAGTGAGATTTATTAAACATGATTATAGTTATAACACTAGCGTGTCCAATTTGAAGAAATCCCTATCTTTGGATTTACTAAGCGAGAGAAGAAAATCCCATCGTTTACAAATTTTCCATAAATCTGTGAACAATAGTATTGCTTTGCCTATCCCGTCTTATTATCAATTGTCTATTAGGAAAACTAGAAATTACTCGACGAATTCATTTATTCAACCACCTGTACATCATGACTACTACAAGTATAGTTTCTTTCCGAGAACTATAAGGGACTGGAACTGTTTATCACCTGGAACTAGATCACTTAATTATTCAGCTTTTTGCAGTACAAAATTTTTCTATAAGTTTAAGCATAGCTATATTGTTAATTACATATTTTATTTATTTATTATTTTTATTAGCTATGTTTATATTTTTATATTTTTATTCTTTTATCTCTTCTTGATGTGTAATAGCATTGAACAGTAATAAAGTAGATGTAGATGTAGATGTAGATGTAGACTTCATGCAATAAGTTTGTTTTTCTTCCAGTGGCTTTGTTTCTTTTCTAGGGTGGGTTAAGATAACCCAGGGTTGGTGTCAAATATGATTTTAGATCTGAAAGCTCTTAAAGGAAAATTCAGTTTAATTTCGTTTGTCTAGAATTTGATTATTGAATGCTCTCAAAAGAATTGGGAAAATTATCCCAAACTGGCTTTTGAACAGAGAGATACTAAAACCTGGATTAAAATTTAACCCCAGGTTAGCGTTAAGGCCTTTGAACAACTGGGCCCAGGGAGACAGTCAGATGGATTAATATTAATGTATACAAGGGTTATTGCGAGATGAATGTTCTGTGTTTTTTCGCCACATGATGTTAGGTAGCCCATGAAATCATTTAAAAAATTAATGGGTGGGTTATAATTGCACTCATGATCACAAGTGGACTGCTACAGATTCCTTTTACCTCTTCATATCTGGAACATGAAATGCCTGAACTGCATTTTTGGCATTTTTCATGTGCAAGGAATTATGGAAGTTTTGGCTCAATCTGTTTCAGACCATTCAGATGTATCTCCACATGTCAACTGAGTATTGGACTGAATTGAATTTTTCTTACCATGCCAATGTGTACATTAGGTGACGCCATGGTTACTTTTAAGTTGAACACAACCTCAAGTGGGACGCTGTATTTTTTTCTCGATGAGAAATGGCCATTGGTGGAGCAAACATCACAGTGTCAGAACAAGCTCGATATGGCCCAGTATTCATGTAAGTTAAACAACTTTTTTGTGTGATACTCATGAATAGTGAAGACTTTCTCTGTATGCTACAAACACACAGAGAATGTCCCTGCTACTTTTGCAGATATATTACAGTTTGCACTCAGTATATGACAGACCTCTGTAATTTCAAAAAAATTATTGACATGTAACTTCTCCCTTTAATATCCATACATTATCCAGCAAAAGGATAATGAGAATACTCAAATTATCAGGTAGAAATTGTCATCTTGATGTAACATGAAATTCCCATGACTAATTTTCAAGGAAATGTGTGGCAGCCAGTGGGGAGAAGTAACAGTCAGATCTTGGGATTTGAAGGGTTAATCAAAACTGTAACAAAATTCTCAAATGTGACTGGTCATCACCAGCCAGATTTGTGTACCAATAGGACAGTGTACACTTCATGCTTGTAATTGGACAGTGCGTATCATGTGCACACCATTAATACGCATTTCACTGAGTTAACTGTTGTTTTTGTTGTGAAAATGTATAACCTGTGTCTAGTTTCTTTCTCGCATTTTGTCATAGTTTTGATTAAATGGTAACAGGACTTTGTTTTGTCCAATTCTGTTTGTAATCGTACTCATGATAAATAAATCAGACTCCCACCTTGTGGTGGTCTGATTTTGTTAGTCACTGGTATTGTTACAGGCAGAATTGGACTCCATCCAGTCCTTTTATGATAATTAATATCATTCCATACATTATCAAGAAAACAGATAACGAGAATACTCAAACTTATCAGGAAGAGGTTGTTATCCTGATCTAACACGAAATTCTCACAACTAATTTCAGGGCTTGACACTAACTTTTTGACTTATTAGCCAAGTGGCTAGTGACAACTTAGATGTTACAACAATTTCAGTTTGTTTAGTAGCCAAAACTGGGGAGTGGAAATCGAAAACCACTAGCCAAAACTGTCAAGCCCTGAATTTACAAAGAAAATGTGCAGTGGTCAGTGGGGGTAAGTAACAGTCAGATTTGGGGAGTTTAAGAGTTAACTTGGATAAATTATACACATCATTATTTAGTTATGAATTATGGAAATCCTTTTTGATCACCAATGTTGTTCCACTTTCAGTTGCACTTGAAACTGCATCAGGTGAAAATAAGTTTTCTGCATGGGATGAGCCAAAGGTGTGGCATGTTCTGTTTGCGGATTCTGTGACATGTGACCCCAGTGTGCCAGCTCTTGATGATGTTGCTTTCACATTGGAAATGCTCAACCCTGATTCTGGAGGAAAACCAACAAATCACTGTGGCTGTGATGAGACAGGTGGGCATTTGTATAATTGTAAGAAGAGATCAGGGACCTTAAGCAGTCAGGACGGCAACGCCAAGGAAGACTTCGATTAAAAAATGAATTTCTACTCTTAGTCAGAATTTCAAAAATGGCTGCATGAGCTTACTGTCTCATACGGCGCCACAGCTGAACTTCAGCATGACATGTAGAAGTAGCGTTGAGTTCCAAATGGAAATTAAATTAATTTGCCGTCACGGTTTCGGTTCGCAGACGACGCAAATTTTGGCCATTTCACGTTGTTGTTTTGCACAGGATGGCTAAGAAATGTACAAAGTTTCAAAACCCAGGTGCTGAGCTATTGTTCTGCCAATTAGATCTCTTGTTTTTCCACGTCCTTGTTGCCTTTGCCGTCTTGGCTGCTTAAGGTCCCTAATAAGTTCACGATATCTGGGTTAGTGGAAGTTCTGATAAAGAATTATTGTTCTGGAACATGAGGGAGCAGGGTTGGCGTAGTGGTGAGAGCGCTCGCCTTCCACCAATGTGTCCCGGGTTTGATTCCCGGACCCAGCATCATAAGTGGATTGAGTTTGTTGGTTCTCTACTCTGCTCCAAGAGGATTTTTCTCTGGGTACTCCGGTTTTCCCCGCTTCTCAAAAACCATCATTTGAATTTATTTAATTTAGAGTTTATTTGGATTTATACATGACCTCACAAGCTGTTCAGCTTTAAACATTGTCGTGTCTAAATAAAGGTATTATTATTATTATTATTATTATTATGCAGTTATTATTTATTGTATTATTATTAGGTAGGTATTATTATTATGCAGGTATTATGTAAAGGTATTATTATTATTATTATTATTATTATTATTATTATTACTACTCTTTAACCTCTAAGAGTGGCTGGCTTCTGATTTCTCCTTACAATGTTACTTTTGAATCAAAAGTTAAAGTCATGATAAATTCAAATGATCATGAACTTTCCATTGCTAAATTATGTATTATCATTATTTATTATTTAAAAAGGTCTTGATTGTCAAACAAATTCTCCTTGGCTGGGTTATTCAAAGGTTGCTTCCTTTCCTGCTTCCAGCTGCTTGCTTGCTTCCTCAGTATTTTTCCAGGTTTCCTGAAGAGTTCACTTGTACCCACCCACACCAGTGAGAAGTAGGATGGAAGGTTTGAACCTGGAACCACCAGATTATAAGACCAAGAGCTCTAACCTCTCAGCCACACTGCCTCCTGTTGTGCCACAGTGCTTTGTACAACAAAGTTGCATTTATATTTTTCTTTTATTCTGACAAATGCCATCTGGACTAAATTTTCATCTCTCCCAGGGCTCCACATTAACTTTTCAACTTACTAGCCAAGTGGCTAGTGACATCTTAAGTGTTACAACAATTTCAGTTTGTATACTAGCCAAACTGGCCAGTGGAAATTGAAAACCAGTAGCCAAAACTGAATTTCTAGTATACTAGTCTGTCGCCAGTGGGCTTCCATTAGTGTCAAGCCCTGTCTCTTAGTATAGAAAGCAAAGTTAGATGTGATAGATGCAGTATCTAAAGAAGCAAGATATTATTTTTTTTATTTACAGGCATACTTTCGTTCTATGAGGTGCTGGCATTTCTTTACTTTGCTGGAGCAATAGCCTATGGTCAGCGTCTGTGGCAGACCATACAGAAAGGAGGACCCATGCACTTGGTATACTTGTAACCATGTATTCATTATATCTGCACATGAAATTAGTCACTCAAAAATATTAGTGTTAAGACATTTTTGTTTTGGGTAATCTTCAGGTGATCAAAATGCTGTCAATAGCCCTGATCTACCAAGGCACAGGACATTTTCTCACTCTCATTCATATCTACAGGTATTCACATCAATATTTTTATTTTCACAGATATTGCAGCGAAATTTTATATTATATACTTACAATCATTTGGTTATTCTAACTGTTACATGATTTTTTAAACCTCAGATATTCAAAGGATGGTGAAGGCTATCCTCTTCTTGATAATCTCTCCACAGGTAAAAATTGTGAGAGAAAGTTACTCTAATTCTAGTGTACTTGTTTCACTTGAGTTGCTTTCATTGCCATTCCTAAGAATAGAGAAACATTATGAGCATTCCGCAAAGCAAATAAGCTCATAACCTTTTAACACCTAAGAGTTATGGGCATCTTATTTCACCTGACAGTATCAGCCCTGAATCAAACTTTTATTTATGAGATTAAATTAACCACCTCCCGGTTAGCTCAATTGGTTAGAGTGCCAGACTGTTGTGTGGGAGGTCAAGGGTTTGAGCCCCAGCCAGACCAACACTCTAGGTCTTAAAATAACTGAGGAGAATGCACTACCTTTCTATAATATCAAGAAATGGATAGACATTCTAGTCTTCTCAGATGAGGACAAATAAAAGGTAGGTCCTGTCTCCTGCGTCTAATTAGTTAATTTGGTTAGGCAGGGATGTTAAAGAACCCACTCATGAGATTACTGTGATGTGGTCTGGCCTGTTTACTGGGAATTGAGGGGTAGGGGACCTTTATAGGGATAACCTCAGAGTCCACCTTTTCAATTATGTATCGTGTATTTTAATAAAGTAGTATTGTATTGTAAAGGAACTAATGGCAAACTCAAGAAGCTCTTGATTGTTAAACAAATTCTCCTTGTAACTACCATATGAAATTCACTCCTTCTCCTTCACTCCATTGAAACATTGCAATGCTAATGCTCACTTCATATTGAACACTCTTGGTTCAGAGAGACAGCCAGTCCAAGAGGCTGAGTAGACTGAGATATTCATAGTGTATAATTATTAACAATATACATNATTTTTATACTATCATAAGTGGACTAACTAGGAACTAATCTGAACATTGATGAATATTTTTATATCTGTTGATTTCAGGTCATCACATGGGGTTTGTTGACTGCTCAGTCCATATCAATCCTGTTGTTGTACAGACTCTTCTTATCACGGAGTTTATATTGGGAGGTGTCTTCTCTTGCCACCAGTACACTTCCTCTTCGCGTGGACAGAAGCGAAGGCAGCAAGACGTACAACTCCGAGACAAGGACTGTTAGAATGCACAAACACATTGCTGTTAATTAGATACAAACTTCTCTCTGCTATGAAGGATTAATGGGAACACAGTGTCTTTGTAATTAGACACAAGAGCTCTTGACTTGTAGTGTCCGCAAGTCTTTGTGATAAGATGAATTTATTTATCTCTGACTGAGCCCACGAGCAAGCTGTCATTATTAGCGTGCGGTACAAGCGTTTCTTTGCCTGTGAGAGTGTGAGGCCTTGTGCAAAGAGAGGAGGGAAGACGACCCTTTAGGGTTTAGGAGACACCTCACAACCCCCATGGTATTATAACTTTCTGGCAGGAGAAGAAATACTTGTTCTGTAGCGCTTATCATGAGGGCCTGCCCACAGGCTATGTGTGATTGGCTAGTGACAAACCCACTTTTCACCTTTTAACCCTAACCCACAACACTTGGTACATTTTCTTGTGACTACTCTCGCAAATTGATTTGCGTTTACTATTTTATGTTTCCATATCAATAATTGGACGTCTTATTTCAATTACTGCATTAAGTCGAATCAAGTTCGTCTTCTAAAGGTTGCAGTGATGTTCAAGTCGTGTTCTGTGTTCCTTGATAACATGTGGACTCTTAAGGTTTCGGATTCAAACTTGCTAGTTTGTGTTATTCGATCTGCCATCAGTCTTTATTTTTTTTACAGACATCTAAATTCATAAGAAAACGAACTACACCGATATCCTCCCGTCACAACTCGGAAATATCACCTCTCAAACCTTCTGTAACATCGCATTTCTACTGGAAAGTTCGCATCATGATACAAAACAGGGTGAAATGGTATTTTATAAAGTAACTGATACGAGTGAAGGCTGATAGTTTCTAAAGAAACTGTTTGGCGCTGCGTCGGTGGGGGTAACGAAATATTTTGAATATATCAACAAAGTTGAAATGATAAATTGGCCACCGTTACGGTTATAACTGATACGATTGTCCTGATTGGTCAATAACCTATCGTTTACTGCAACGGTAAGCCTATAGAAAATTATAGTTTATTTGATGAAAGCAATAGTCCGCTTTTCGTGAATGTTTACCGGCCAACTAACCTACACGGGATGTTGGGAGAACAATCGAAACGGTTGTAAATCACACGCCTCCGGGTCGAGGTTTTGAAAACTTTTCTCGCGTTCTCCCAACATTTCACCCGGGTTACAGAACGGAAAAGCGATCCATTGCATTGTGAAAACGCAAATACAACTCCATGGTACACATGTTATCAAAAAATGCAGTAATTTGAGTTTTCGAGTTTTCTACATGTGCAGGTCATGTAATTGGAAAATCTTTTAACAGTGTGAGGAAACTACAATCTTTATTGAGTTATGAATTACAAGATTTTCAGTCATCCAAAAAGTCCTTTATTAAATGCAAATTAATATTTTATTACAATAAAGTTTTGAAGCAACAGTTTGGTTTGGTATTGCCTTCAAACCTTCAATGAGTCATCGCGTCATCTTCTTTCCCGTCGATCACCGAAGTTACTTCTATCGCGTCTTTCAGGCTTCGTGCCTTCCTCTCGGTGGTCTCCTCTCCTGTCGAACCGGTCTCTTTTTCTTTCGTCTACCTCACGCATTCTATTATCACGCGATGAGTGATGAAAGTCTTTGTCTCTTTGCTCCCTACGGTTGTTGGAGATGTGATTGTCACGGAATTCGTGTTTCTGTGCTTCACGGTGACGCTCACGAATATCACTTTCACGTTTGCGTGTTTCGCGATCGCGTTCATTAAGTTCTCGCTCGTGCTTACGATCACTGCGGTGCACATCATGGTAGTTCTTATCCTTTGAATCTCTATCCTGTTTGTATACGTGATGGTCTCCAAAATCACGATCACGTCCACTGTCACGCATAACGCTCGCTTCCACATTCCGCAAATCACGGTCACGAAGCAAATCTTGGTCAAGCATATCCCTATTGTCATCTTCGGACCCACGCCTCTTTCTACTTTTAGGTCCTTTAAGATCCTCTTCCACTGAGCTGGACATCATTTTCTTTTTCTTTGGCCATTTGTCTTCTTTGTGTTTCTTTTCTTTCTTTGTTTTTTTCTCTTTCTTTCTTTTCTTTGGTAGTTCAAGGATGTCCTCATCTTCTGAGACTGGTGGTGATGGTGAAGGTGTTTTAGGGGCACAGCCTTCCTCAATGATCTCCTTTCTTTTTCCATGTTCATCCTTTTCATCACTCAATGGTCTTCGATAGTTTGAACAGTGATCCACTCTGATTATTCTGCCACCAAGCTTTAGAAATAACCCAAAGAATCCTACTGTTAGTTTTAAAACTGTACAGTGAAATACCAGAGTTAAAAATGAAAAGGGGCATGCTCCAAACGTAATGTAATACAATCTAGTGAAGAGCATCTAATTCCCTCACACAATATCACCCCCCAAATCACTCATTAAGGCCAAGAAAATAGAGAAATGGTCACCAACTAAAGAACTGTTAATTATTGAACAAATTCTCCTTGTCAGCACCTTAGGAAATGTATAGAGAACAGTATGGAGAATATGTATACTGATGAGGGCTTAATTGATAGTCAGTTCATGGTACAATGAACAATCTTTAGTCTTTATTGAATATACAAGTAAAAATGCATACCTATATATTAACATGTTTAAATTATTAATTAAAAAGTTAAAAAGCGGAAGCATATTTAAAATACAGTCTATTGATATAACTAGCTTTAAAACGTTCATTGTTGACACAAGGTAGTAGGCTTGTTTGAGTTCTCAAACATTTGGAAGATTCTTTAACTTTGGGCAACAAACTGTAAAGCGGATGAGTAGGCAGGCAACTAATCCTCTTTGAGATTGACCTATCTGTTTTCTCAAGCAAATCATATATATCTATAGCATAGGATATAAAACTGCGTTTATGACATCTTCGAAAGGAACCGCTGCACAGTATTAAATTCAGGCACAGAGGCTGCATACACCGGTAAACCATATGAAATTTTAGGTAAAACTAAAGACTGAAACAGATGATCAATTTCCGCTTGGTTATATCCTTTCCTCTTTGAAAACATTAATACATGGAAATTCTTACCTTGATTCCATTGAAGTTGTCCACAGCCAATATTGTGCTTCGCTGGTCTTCATAACAAAGGAAACAATATCCTTTTGATTTTCCAGTTTTCTTGTCTCTCACCAGATTTATGTTTACAATTTCCCCATACCTATACAAAAATGCCAAGTCAATGTGAGAAACCAATAATCCAAATAGGAGCATTCTGTCAAAAAGGCTTGATTGGTTCCAAAAAATGGTTTGCTTTTGAAAGAGCAATGCAT